AGAAAACACATTCCCCTTTCCCCCCCCCCCCCCCCCCCCCCCCCCCCCAGCTGTTCTCTGGGGTTTTACTTTTTTAACAGAGAGAGAATGAGTTTTATAATTGATAAGGAACTATTTTATTCACTACCACACTAAAATAAAAAAAATTGTCATCAATCTTTGTGAGAAAAGTTTTTTTATACAATTTCTGATCATTGATATTAGATAATCAGAAAAGATTGTCAGAAATTAGATAATCAGAAAAAATTGAAAAGATGTGACGCATTATGATCATTTAAATATCCTGTCTCCTCAATTTTCTGTCCAAACAGGAAGACTCCACAGTGTCTCCACCTACAGTTAAAGATGAAGAATCAAAGGAGAATCCACCAGAGCCATCTACATCAACAGTGGCTGCCCCTACAGGTGACAAGACTGTGAAAAGTCAGGTGAAGCCATCGTCTTCATTACCTGTAGCGCCATCTACAGTTGAGGGTGAGGAGGCAATAAGCCGCCAGCCATGGGATTCGGATTCTGCACCAGCGCCCCCTTCAACATCAAATCCAGATGCTCCTGACGACTTAGAGGGGAAATCGATAAAAGAACCAAAACCAGGTATTTGTCACTGAGTAATAATTTACTCTGTGTAATTTTTATAATTTGAACAAATTATTCTCATAATATATATTTTTTTTTTTTAGTTTTTTTTTTTTTTTTTTTTTTGTTTCTGACTCATTTATTTNTTAGTTTTCTGACTCATTTATTTAATGCACTTTTATTTGACAGTTCTCATGATGTACGGAAATTGAATTCACTTTTGAATGACTTTGTAAAATAGGCAGTCTTAAATAATGGACTGACCCCAGGTATAATATACCTCCAAAATTAGAAAAAAATGAAAGTGTTAAAAAATTAAATAAATTAATACTCCATCGAAACATCAGTATGTATCTATTTCTCTGTGAACATCAGCTTCTCGGCCAGCCAGTGCAGAAAGACCCGCGACAGGTCCTGGAGCTGAGAAAGATGGCTTTCCTACGCAAATACAACAGCGGCAAACTGCTACGCACATTACAACTAGTACACCTAAGGTAAGGCCCAACTCCTGTGTATACTCTTAGTTATAGAGAGAGAATAAGAGAGGATGGATGTGGTTTTTAACCTCGTATTGCTGAGAGAGAGAGAGAGAGAGAGAGAGAGAGAGAGAGAGAGTCTGTAAAAAATATAACAGCCCACATAGAATGTGTTAAACTGTGACTGCAGATTTGTTCCACTAATCTTTCTTTCTTCTAAGAATTATCTTTAATTATATTTTAACTTGGGCCCTAAACTGTTTGAATATTTGTTCTATCTGTTATAGAAAACCAGCTACAAGTTTGAGGCCAGAGAGTTTGATAACCTGGACCCCAAGGAATACGGCATTGAACTGAGTGATGAGGAATTCAAATATGGTAGGCCTGGGATTAATATCAGAATGTTTTAGTGATATTTATTTATTTATTTATTATTTTTATGAGAAATAATTGCCAGTAAGATGTTAGAAATTCAGTAAAATTGCTGGGATAGAAGTCATGTCCTTAATTGTTCCTTGTTAAATGTTTTTAGAACCTCCTGCTGAAGATCACACACTGCCTGATCTCTATCGCCTCATGGACACTCTGGAAGGGGGTGACTCGGACCTCGAGACTTCTCAGCGCCCTCCTGCTCTCTTCACGCGCCCGGAGCATGTCCCAAATTACCAGAAAATTTCTGAACTTCGCCTGGCGATGGAGGAGGAGGATATTCAAGAGTATGTGGAGGGGTTTGAGACTGATGTTAGAGACGAGGTGCTTATGATAGGGAACATTTCATTGGAGGAGATTCAGGCAAGTATCCAATGATGTTTTTCCTTTCAAATTTATGTTTTAAGCAATATTTTTGAGATGATAATGATTTTTGGTTGGGAATGGTCACAAATTTTATGTCATGGAAGACACGCTCATTGCATACAAAAGAAGACTGATTTTTTTTTGGGGGGGGGGTAGAATTTTTTTTTTTTTTAACCATTTAACCACAGTCATACTTAACTCTGGTACTTTTTCCCATTCTAATTAATTTTAACTTTGTTTTTTTCCACTCCAGGAAGAAGAGAAGCGACTTCGAGATGAGCACATAGCTTACCAGCAACAGGAGGCAGAGATTGCTCGTCAGCGCCAGGAAGGAATTCTCATCAGCGAGGAGCAGGCCAAGAAGCGTATGGCAAAGAGGCTGAAAGAGAAACGCAGACTTCTGGCTAAGAGAGAGGTAAAGGATAAATTTAGATCAAATAATTGAAGAAAAAATGGAAACTCGTAATGTATACTCACGTGCAGGTTGTATGAGGTCTGATCTTTGGTTTGTATCCTTAGACTTCATCAGACTCAATTTTCTTTACTTATTTCATTGAAACTAACTGAATGAATTAAAATGTATAAAGTTTGGTGAAAAGTTAAGTTTAAGCCTGCCAGTATACTGTCAAGAATTAAAATATTGACACTAATTTGATGAGAAAACTGTCAACCAACTGTTTTCAAACTCAAGCTGTGATGTTTATTTTTCTTCCAGGAAATAGCGCAGCAGAAGGAACGTCTGTTGATGGACAGACTTCACAAGGCCTTCAGACGGTCAGAAAACCAGCTGACCACTGTCCTGGAGAGAAGGAAGGGAGAAGTTAAGGTACGAGAAGAGAGACAGAGTAAAGGAGGGAGAGAGAGACAGAAAGAGAGAGGAGGTAGAAAGGGAGACAGAAAGGGAGGAAGAGAGAGAAGGGTGTTCTCATTTAGATCACACTGAATAATAAAATGAGAAAAAATTACCTGCATCTGTCACTCTACCTAGAGAGGAGATTTAGTCAGTGTACAGTATGTGGAATTCAGAATTGCTCCTTTAAAAGAGAAATTTTAAATGACCTGGTGACATGCCCTTTCTCATCTTTATGTAATTTCTCCATTCCCTATTTTAGACAATGTATGGAGATCTCACAGTATCAGATGGCCACTACGGAGGCAGTAAAGGCAGAAGATGGAAGGTCGACTGGAACAAGACTCCCCAGCCAATCCAAGTCAAGCTGAACTGCCTGAGAGGGGTCAAGGACAAATTACCAGGTAGGTCAAGGTCATCTAAATTCTACAGTAAAGAAATGGAGTTAGTTAACTGATCACCAGTGTGGGAAAGGCATTGCTTTTATATCACATATGTAAATTGCAAAGGGAAGATGGGACATTAATTTAGAAATCAGGCGTTGTTACAAGTACATATGTTATCATTGTGGTACATATTTGGGTAGCGAGGAAGAAAGAGTACATTTTTGCAACCCCCTCTTGCCTCTTTTTCTTATTCAGAATCATTCACTGTTAGATGGTAGCTATACAAGATTTCAATAATCATACATATACTTCACTTTCATCTGCTCACTATTCATGAAAATCTTTGAAAGATAAGGATGTTAAAATAAAATTTTGCTGTCTCAACTGGCCTTTACATTCTTCGAAAATTAAATTGTGGAAAAAATTCATAAAGATATTTGTAATTCAAAGGTGTTAAATTATATTTTTTTCTATTTTTATATTTTCTGTTTCAGCTTGCCGCTATGTCCTGATGGTATTTTTGAATTAAGATATTTGTAAATCAATGATTTCGAAATAAAACCTTCCATTTCAGCTGGCCGTTATGTGCTGATGGTGTCCCTGTACAACAGACTAGGAGGTATCGTGATGAGGTGGTCCAACTTAAAGGGTCAGCAGTGGGGTGGGGCCACGCTGCCCACACACCACGACGGGAACTTCTACAATGCCGAGTTGAAGGTATGGTTACTACCTGACATGAGTTACTCAGTTATTTCAAACAGCATCTATAACAATCAGTAAAAGGTACAGTAAAGTAAAAATTAAAACAGGTTCAAAGAACCTCTGTTCTGCAGTGTGATCAAAGCCCTGGGTTGAAGGATTAAAACTTTATTTCACATGGTAAAAACATGTTTAGTGTCTTTTGAAATGATATGTTTTTTAACATGCTCAGCTAAAGGTAATATCAATATTTCAGTGGAAGTATGAAATCAGATTTTCTGGAAATATGAACTTTTGCACCTCAGCATTTATGTAAAAAAGACTGAGAGTATTTATCTATTCATTCATTAACCAATTTATTTATTCATTTGTTTATTTATTTATTTATCTTGTTGGTAAGATAGTTATCTAGTTGTTTCATCAAACTTTATTTTTGTTCTAGCTGGAGCAGAGTGTGTTCACCGTCCTCCCCGCCAAGCCCTCAGTACGTCCAGGCATGGTGCTGGTGTTTGAGCTGTTCCTCCTCCGTGGCGCCGTCGTACCCACTGACCGAGTGGTGGGATGGGGGGCTTTCCCTATCTGTGATGGAAATTTTGACATCATTGAGGGAAAGTATGTGCAGTATTTGATATGGCTTTTTGTTCCATATTTACTTTGACAAAAATATCTGTAAACATGTATTGATAAAAGCTGTGTTAAGGAATTTTTAGATAAATAATACTTACAGATATGAAAAAAAGAAACATTGAAAACAGGAAAAAATGGCAGTTCCAAAATTTTCAGGTTTCATAAATTTTCATGTTTGAGTTTTCACACATTATTCACTTCCAGATACAAAACTATATTCACAATATTTCAGCAAGGTGAAACAGTTAGAGTTCAATTCATATTTGTATCTTTCTATTTGTATCTTCATCTCTGTGTACATTCACATCCAGATACAAGTGCCCCCTGTTGAGAGGCGAGATGGACACCCTGATAGATAAACACGAGAAGATCGAGGAGCTGATGGCGTCTGACGTGGACCACTGGCTCAGTAACCTCTACTTTGAGGTGGTCAAGTTACCAAGGTGAAATGTCTTTATGCTTCTTCCATCCTAAATTACTCTCCTCCAGATATTAACAACATTTGGGCAAGCTGAAACAGTAAAAGTTGAATTCATATTTGTATTTCAGCTCAACAAGTTATCAAATTACAAAGATGAAATATCTTTGTCCACATTTTTAAGCTGCTATTTAAATCAGAGCATTTCAATTGAAGAATAATTATATATAAGCAAATTCTCATGTGTCGACAGTGAATAAGCTATTTTGTAAATGTTGCATAATACGCTTGCTAAGTAAAATGTACTTCGAGGTGATTAATTTTTTTATTCATTCTACTAACTTAAATGCAATCATGACAACATATGTTGCTCATTCAATGCTTCTAATTTTTTGATTGATTGTTATAAAATATTTAGTCATAGATCTGGAAAATATATTTAAATTTGTAAAAAAAAAGTACTTGTGTAATTGTGAAAATGGCATACTAAATTGGGAAATCTCTGTCTTCTAGATACATGGCAGGTCAAAAAGAATATGAAGTAGAACTTCAGTTCCTGTCAGGAATTCTCAGCCATCCAGACCGTGTGAATACTGGAGAAGAGGCTAAAGACGGAGAGGAACCTATCCCAGGATCCCACAGCAATATGGGGTCCACACTGACCAAGGAAGGGGCCCAGAGGTAATGATATTGATAATGACATAAGCACAGAAATTACATTGTTTTTACATGTCAAATTTCCAAGCCTGCTTGTTAGTTGTCGGAAGACATGCATCTCTCTCTCTCTCTCTCTCTCTCTCTCTCTCTCTCTCTCTCTCTCTCTCTCTCTCTCTCTGTATGTGTGTGTGTGTACACAGTATTGATATACATCTGTTTCCTGTCCCAGTGAAGCCAAGCTGAGTCTCCACATGAGCAGTATCCTAGGTAAAAGCAACACCACTCTGGCAGATGATGGCCTCAAGTCTGAAGATGGGAAACCAGTAAGAAAATAAGATATTAACTCCACAGGTGTTAAAACACAAGAATTTCTATTATGGCTGCTGGTTCCTGCCAAAGAGAAAAATAATCTTAGCAGAATAATTAGTTTTGATTGTTAAGTCCTTGCATTTATTAAGAAAAAGGTAAGAAGATTTAAAATATGGCCGTACAAAAGTCAAGTTTACTGAAAAAGGTCACAATGAGACAAAAAAAAAAGGGCCACTTCTCCTGCTTATCAAAATACCGCATCCTTTCTGTTGTGACTTTTGTGTTGAGGTGATAATAAAAAATAAATAATATTATTTAATTCTAAACGAACCATTCCTTTAATTCTTCAGGACAAGCTCCATGTTGATCTACGCCAGCGCCGCCCCATGACGACCATCGGATCACGTAACATTCACAAGGATAACAAGGTCAAGGTCGGGAATGAGAGTGACAGCGATGACTATGATGATGAAGAGGCCTTTATGACCAAGAAAGACGAGGACTTCATGCCGGTGAAGGGAGAACCTGGGCTCTTCTATAAGGTAAGTAAAGTATACTTAGGGGACACTCACATCAAGTTTTAGGTAGACCAGAAATTGTTGTTCTGTTGTAGCCAAATTCATCATTGATGTAGATCAAAATTTTGATTATCTAAAAGCTGTTTGGCTGAAATAGATTTACCATGGAGTGAGTTTAGATAATTATATATTTTTGAAGTGTGGATTTATCACCAGTGCTCACATGATATTTTTGTTTGAGAACACAAAAGAACAGCTCAGTAAATGTCTACACCAATGAACTGTCATATTAATTCATTCTCAGCCAGTGGACCAAATTTTTTGCCTCCAAGGGAGCTGGCTAAACTCGATTTAAAAAACTAAAATCCCAAATGTTTACATATAATTATTGACTTGTAAATAAGTTTATACACTAGTGTGTTCTTAATCTTGCCAAAAATGCCAGTAGACAAAAATATTGCCTCCATTCCAAATGCTTATATGTGAACTTAAAGTTATCAGTCAGTTTATGCACTGGTTTGTACCTGATTTATTTTCTTTATAAACACAGAGACACATGAACAACCCAGTGGATGTTTACGCCAAGAAGCTGTACACCATGCTCCCTAAGACACCCATCTTGAACCCTAAGAGACGCCAGAGGAAGCTGACCCATCTAGAACAGCTGGAACAACACAGCTTTAGTGTCAAGTAAGTGAAAAATGGCCAGCTGGCAGGTTCAAGGTGTTTATGAGTTTTATGTGTTGTATTTGTGTTTTGAATTTTTTTTAAAAAGTGTATGGCACTTTTACAAAGTATTATTTTTAGTTTTCATTTTAGGACAGCATGTTTGAACATTAATTTTGGCACAAAGGTAGAAATGGAGATGGTTATTTCTATTATTTGAAGTAGTTGTTGTAGTTACTGTAGTAGTAACATGGATTTGGTAAAAAGCTTATTATAAGTGAATATTTCAAAAAAAAATACTAGAACAAGAAAAATTCAAATTGGGCAGAGAAAGTTTTAACATTGAGAAACATCATGTTTCAATTGTTACCACACCCAAAATTATAATGAATTTTATTAATTTTTTCAATAGGCCTCCATTCTCAGAGAAAGGGCACCTGCCAAGACGCAGCTGGGAGAAAGTGAACTACGTGGGGCGCATGTTTCTCGCGGAGTTAGGACTGTCACAGTGGAGAAGCAGAGAATTCTGGGGAATGGTGATGCTGTTTGTCTTCATCTTCTTCCTGCGTCTTTATCTCCATTACATCGGACAGTGGTTGTTCTTGAATGCAATCGAGATACCCATCAACAAGTTAGTAGGGTTTTAATTTTCTTATTTATTTCCATAAAGAGACAAATTAAATGAGGTTATCAAATATGGGAAAAGGAAACATATTTTTATAAATGAAATCTAGTTTAACTTAACAATATTATGCCAAACTAAATTTAAAAAAAAAAGAGAAATTATAACAAGTGACTAATAATTTCATGCTGAAGAGGATACAGCATCTTCAAAATCAGAGTTGTCTTCTACTGAAAATCACTGCATTTCCAAAATACTTTCAAAAATTGTGTGCAGGTGATTAATATTAGGTACATGTTTTATGAGGTCCATAAATGTTCTTCTTAGGTTTGAGTTCCTGCCTTACACAGTAAACCTGAACTACCAAAGCACCCTTCTCCACACTCGTGAAGAAATAGCCATGGTCAGCTTGGGGCCGTTCTTGATCATTTTGACCTTCACCTTGCTGGTCATTATTGATTGGCTGATGCAGAAGATCTTTGGGATGTTCCCTGACCTCGGCAGCAAGTTCATTATCTGCTTTGGTATCCATGCTGTTCTGGATCCCATCACTATCATGATCATAGATCTGAGCTTGCAGGTAAGTGCTCTATGTAAATTCGATGATGAAATCTAAAATTAAATAAAATGATATGTTATCTAATTTTATTGATATAAACAGGTAAGGTTAGGTAAAGCAGTAGTAATTATATGTCTATCAATTGCTTGGTTTCCGTTTCAGAGGTACCTAAACTCTGGTGGTGACCAGCCTATAGCAGACTGTGCCAAGCTGTACTGGCATTTCAACAGAGCGGAGGGGTCGGGACTGGCGGGCATCTTTATCACTCTGTTCCTGTACTTCTGTCTCTGCTTCATGGCCGCAGCTATACTGTATATGTTCTTCCTCAGGTGGGTGTCAAATTTGTTTTCTTTCAAGTTTATGACGTATTTTGAGAAGGCAATGGGCAGACATGTTTTTCGCAAGTGCATGATTGTGAGGTGCACCTTTTATTCTTTTGTTGGTAACTTCTAAATGTTACAATAACCAGTTTTCCAGTGACAAGTATTCCCTTTAATTTTTATATTGTATTATCATTTTGTTTACTACATCACTGAAGATATGTTTAATCCCTGTTTTTCCCCTGTTGGTAGTGTGATATCTTATTGTACATATTTTATATTTTTCTTTCAATTTTCACCCATTCTTGTTCCCAGACTCCACAACAATGGCCGTATGTTGGATGTGTACTGGCGTCTCCATGGAGACGAAGACATGTTCTTTGTACCACATGACCTGGAAATATCCAATCAGGAGCTCAGTTACATCACCAAGAAGGCTGAGCAGTGGCGAGGTGAAGAGGGAGAGAGACGCAAGACGGCAGTGTATGATTACATCTGGGAAGAAGAGAATGTGAGTGATATCTATATTGTTTTCAACAGAAGAATTAAATTTTTTCCTGAAGAGATTAAACAGATTTTTCAACCTATGAGGAAGAAAGTTTCTACATTTCATCATAGAGTTTTGATCAAGTGGCGTACTTGATGATGTGATCTATGAAAGTAAGAATGTCATGCTATTGTAATTATCTTTAGATTTGTTGCACTTTTTCCGTCACAATTTTGACAGAATCCTCCATTAAGTTTAATAAGAAATAAGGTTAGGTGGACTGTAATTGCCTTTCCATAAGTGTCATCACACACAGTATCATTATCCATTTTGTTTATCCTGATATTTTTTCTCCCACCAGGTGGAGGAGAGCATCTGGGATGATGTTCCTGATCTGAAGAAGAACAACAAACGTGAGATCACAACCCATGTCTCCATCCATACCCTCCATCTTGACGGCCTCCGTGAGCTCTTCCGACATTTTCTACGTCTTCCGGATGGCGCTATTGTAGAGGTAAATATGGACTATGTATCTAAATATTGGAGCACTACTCCCTTCAATACACATTTCGTCAGATTTAACCATAGAACTGGCCTTAATATCGATGAAACATATCATTTATAGTGGTAACTTTTGTAATAATTATTTTTATCAATTAAAATATAATGAAAGAGTTATCAAATATTAAGTGAAAGTAGTTTTATTTTAATTGTGAACAATGAATTAATATCAGTGAACACAGGAGTCACATTGACTTATATATAATTTATTTCATTAAAAAAAAAAGGTAATACAAAAACCAATGTATCATATGTGATACATCATAATGATATCTCTTTATCTGCAGGTGTTTGGTGAGATGTCAGTGACAGGGATGGACAAGGACGTGACGTCTGCTCTCAAGGAGGGTGCTGGGAAGGTGGAGAACTTGATGGGGTCACAGGCCAGTTTCCACAAGGTAGGAACATCATTTTCTGACAATCACAAAGAACATTTGGTTTTAAAGTTAATAAATCAAAAATTTAATACTACAGGGAAAATTGTACAAGTTTCTTTTCGCTGCAGTATATCATATTATTTTTCAATTAATTTTAAAATTATTTAATTGCGGAATATACATAAATCAAATGGGGTGATTTTGAAATTCAATATTTAAATCATTGTAATAAAAATTGAATTGTTCTGATCAGTAGGTGAATAAATTTCCTTCATTTCGTTGCAGATAAGGGGGCGTCAGACTGTCATGACTGCCAGTGGTTTCCAAAATGGCGATGCAGGTTTAGGTTCGCAGATCTTAAAGCCGCCATCCCCATCTGTGGGGGCTGCAGGAGTGTTTTTCAAGGACCCAGGGTCAAGGCCAAGCACAGCAGGGTCAGGCAAGTCAAGGTCATCTACTGGGTCAAAGCCAAGGTCAAGGACATCAACTCCAGAGCCAGAAGAAAAGAAGACAGCATAAACGAGACAGCTGATTTTCTTTCAAATGATGAGGTTGTGAAATCATTCCAGGTCTATGTTCTTTTTGACATTAAAAGACTTCATATTTTTCTGATTGAATGAATGGAACCTGCACTATAGTACAGTTCATTTATGATATGATGCATTAAATCTGTTTTATAACTCCTTCATGCTAGTAATTTAAATTGAATAATTATATGTAATTTTTGGTAATTTGAACAGCATTTTAAGGGAGACTTAATTACCATTGCCCATCAAGCATTTTGTAGGATGTAAATTTGTTTTGGAGCCCCTTTTGTTGCCAATGCCCTTCTAAATGTGATGTATCTCTATTACACCATAGTCCGTCCAGACATTCAAATAAGTATTCCTTTTCTTAGTTTTTGTCATATGATAATGCAACTGACATATTATATCTAACATTATCTATTTTTGATAAACTTAATGCGAAATGTTTTATGAATGTTAACCACTTGAATGATTTTCATGTTGTGTAATTTTCCGTCCATTGTTTTCTTATCATGGTTCTTTGTATGTTTTTGGGAAGTTTCTACTTCTGTAGCATTTTCTTTGTAGTATTGCAATTATTCAGATATCTCTCCAATTTTACTGTTGAAGTATATTGATTGTCATTTATTCAGTTAAAAATTTTAATAGTCTTGTATTCTAAGTCAATACATGGAATTTATTTTGATTTTACTAATGCTTTTTAGTAACAGGTTTTTGTTTGTTAAATATTCTGTAAATCATGATTTTATGATTTTTTGATTTTCTGTGATTGGGTTTTAATTATACAAAATGAAAACTCATTTTCACAAGGTGAACAATTTTAGATGTGATAAATTATTTCCTAGTTATTCGATTGTGATTAACAGTCAAGTAATTATTAGAAAATTAGTTTTCAATTTTTTATACAATTTATTGTGATTTATGGTCCAGCAAAGTAAAACAAATATTTCTTTTGAATGGACAAAAAACCTGGGCAATGAAATCCACCACATTTATCAACATGTATGCTGCAGGTCAGCATATGATAAGATAATATTTTAAATATATATCCAGATGCTTTAAATTATAACCTATTTTTAAAATGATATATATCCATATATACACGCTTACCCCATGTATATAACCTCTCTACATGATCTATAATACAATCAATTAATGTATATCAGTAGATTTAACCATCCCAATGTACCCTGTATTTGAAAGATTACTAGAAACGGCAGAGACATGCTCATGGCGGAGGTTGGTTCTCACTAACGTCTGAATCGCAGGGTATGTTTGTGGGGCATTTATAGAGATAACAGTGAACGATTGAAGGCATACGCACGGAAATTTCAATGCGTTTTTCCGAAAATCAGGTACACTTAAAACAAAATCTTGTTAAGACTTTGGGTTTATGAGGTACAACACACCTGAGTCATAGACCGCGTTACAACTGAACTAATTCTAAGACTAAAAACCATGAGTGTGAAAGCGGTCCAGTATGTATTCTTTGTTTAATAGTCATCTAGATTTTTAAACACTGTGTTATGTTTCATGTACCTTCAGTTTCAGGAAAATCTCCCTTATTATCAACATTTCTTTCCGTTTCCAGGGGTATGTTGATAATAGAGGTTAGTTTTTCAGGTCTCTGGGTGTCATTATATTATAGTCGGAAATGGAATACAGCTGAGCTATATAATATTTCTTTAATAAAATATATGTAGGCCTACTTTTGTGTTGTTTTTGATGATCTTTAGATATTTTTTACGAAATTCAACACTGCTAAAAACGTTTTCAAAGAACTTGACTTAACGCCTACTGTTTGAGGTGATATTATTGATTCGCGAATGTCTTCTTGTATATATCATTTTGTCAACCCGAGTTGTAGAGATCCAGGGTACTGGTAACAGCAGAGGCATGATCTCAAAAATCAGGGTGCTCTTTGTGCTGGCGATGTTACTCATGAAATTCTCCACCGTAAACATAACACGCAAGATGTGAAGTATTCGATACCTGATTGATTAGGTGAGGTATCGTAGACATATCGAACGGAAAAAGTCTAAAACTAATTAACTTGTGGAAAAGTCAATTCGGTCATCCTTTCATCTGCAAGGTTTTAAAGATCGATTGAAGACGGGTTCAATGTTCTTCAAAGGCCTTTGAGAAAGTTTGGGTTTGCATGCGTACAAACGTCCCCCCCTACCCAAACCTCTACAACCAACCTTCTAACGCTGGGAATGGCCAAATATATCGAGGGGTAGGGGCAAGGTGAGGTGTTAGTGCAGCCTGCCACTGCCAAGGGGTAACTCGTTATTAAGAATAAAAATAAATAGCGTGATTTATTTTTATCACATTTTTCACTTGCCGTGGTCGAAATTTAACTCGCGGCGGTTTTCAGAAAGACGCGCCGGGGGGTAGACAAGCGCGATGGGTGGTATGTGATAAAAGATTAATTATTGATATATTTAATAAAACATTGATGAGTAACACATATTTTTGTCTCCTAAATCACAGTTAAAAGCAGGCTTGGTTTAGGCTGCTGTCAATGATCGATTTGAAAGATTGTAGTCACCACAGAAAAAAAAATATTTGCAACTGATAAAAGAAAAAATGAAAAAATAATTAACAAAATTAGAATCTGAATCTAAATATAAAAACATATACAGTCGTTATAATGCGTCAGTTCACGAACAGGGCGTGCTCTTTTCATTACCCCATTCACAATCTTTTTTTTTTCTTTCTTTTAAAGATGCATACAAAGTCAATTTTTTGTCACAAAAGCCGACCAAATGCCAGCATATAGTTTCAAGTAGTATAACTAAGAGAATTACCAAAAGGCATTGTTTAATTTTACCCGAAAATGATGTTTGAACAGATTTTTCTGCTAGCATTATGCTGTAACAACTACGCAAATTTCACTGAAACGCAGTTAAAAGTTGGTATGGCTCCCAACGCCTCACGCGTTCGCCTTTGAAGCAAGTCTACAGTGTTTAGTTAAAAAATTACTGGAAACTCATTTTATCTATTTAATGCCAATTATCTTTTTTAGCCAATGAAAACTGAAAAAAATAATAAATAAATAAATAAATAAAGTTGAAAATTCGAGTACTGTACTGTGACTGATTTCCTACGAAGGAGCCCGAAGGTTAGGCCATGGTGTAATCATATTGATTACCCCTGGGGGTAAAGACCCCGGGGAGTCTCATTTCGATTGATTACAATATTTGATTAACGCATTTGTAAAGACACTTGACCGCTACAATTACGCCAATTTCATTGAAACGCAGTAAAAAGTGGGTGTGGCTCTCGACACCTCACGCGTTCGCCTTTGAAGCAAGTTCACAATGTTTAGTTACGAGATGACAATGTGCCTTTCCCAGGGTGATCACTTGATAATTAATCTCAATGCATAACAACACAGACTAATAATGCCGTAAATGCGTAAATTTTACCACGGTACGGAAAAAGGGGCGTGGTCCTTGTCACCTCCCTTGNAAACATTGAAAATCTGCCCAAATTTTTTGTTTATCGCCAAGGTACGTATATCATGTACAAAACTGTACTATAAACCCGTTTTCAAGTTCTAAATTTCAACTTCTTTACTGTCCTAAAATAGAGTTTCAGAGATCTTTGCATGCTATACGCTATGCAAGAGACTATAAGTTTAGATGGCAGCACAAGCATTCATTACATATATTCCCACGCGCAATATTATCCCATTAAATAATTGAAACCGAAGCAATAGCTGGAACAAAATGCAATATAACACATAAAACTTATTCCTATTCTTCTCAACGACTGTTTTTATTAGACCTGAATTGAAGTAATGTGTCGTTACGGGGCCACGCTATAAGTGGATTTCTGAAAGCACTTGTTATACTACTCGATTGTTTCGTCGTTTATACCTGCTGTACATCAATCGATTTAATTAACAATTAGTCTCTCCGTTTTCTGAATTTTTGTCTTTTCATTGGTTCGTTAATTAATTGCCCAGAATATCTTATTATGTCCCCAAGATGGATTGCAATTTCATTGTCTCTGCTTCCAGCGCCTTAGAGACATTGGGAGTAATGCCACGCAAGGAATGCTGATTTAATTGTCGGTGAATCGGACTGTAAAGAACATCGAACGTATCAATATTAGGAAATGTTCACACTAGAAGCAGATGTTTCTTTATTTTCTTTGCTTAGGCGGAATATTTTTTATTGTTTAAGTGTTTTCGGACATAGCTGATGTTACGAATATATTATACATTGATATACCATAAAATGACGACATAGAATCAAGGCGATGTTGACAACTTGACTTCCTTTCTTTATTTCATTCATTTTTTTTTTTTTTTTTTTTTGTATTTTCTGAACAGCACGAGCACCGATGAAAAAAAATGTATATTTGCCTGATTTTATGAACGTTTTAAGAGAGCAGCATATTAAAAAGTCCAAACTATCTCACGTAGCAAAGAAGAATGCCCTCCACTTGAAGCCAACAAATATTATCTGTAAGGAAAGGAAACCTAAGACGCTTTTATACAAGTACCAATATCGCACAGTCCATTTTACGTAGTCGACTGTCTGAGTTTAGCCGAATAAGTTAAGGCTAGCAAGTAAAATATTGACCTTTTGTGAAAGGGGATCCTTGTGACGTAACAGATAGATCGATTCAGATCTGATCTATCTTGTATGGTCTATGATCTTTATTAGTTCTTCATTGATCCTGGCCTGGATAAGTCACATGAGGCGGTAAACGCTGTGTTTACTTGACTGTCCTGGTCTGTCAATTAGGGTGCTTTCCCAGAGATTTAGATCGATCTAAAGATTAAGTTTTAGATCGACCTAACTCCCTGGGGGTTCAGGCTAAATTGCAGTCAGCCGAGCGGACACCATAGTTAATTACCCCTTTACAGTTTTTAGTGGGCGGGACAGACGCTTAAGCCGACCAAGCTGACAGTAATCTAGTGAGACTCCCCACAGGGATAGATCGATCTAAAAATCTATGGAAATGGGGTGAGAGATGAGACGCAAACAAGGTTTCAAGTTAACAGATTAAGATTGGTTTCAAAGTAATTGAAGCTCTCCCCCCCCCCCCTCCACTCCCCCCACACACCAAAAATCGCTTTTATCCTGGTAAGGATTTGCTATGTTACTCAAAATTGCTCAAAATGCTTACTCAAAATTTAAATGTTGTTTGTAGTCAGATGGATTTTACCGTTCTTTGGAGTACGGTTATAATCGCCAAGCAATGCCTTCACAC